TAGTTAGAGGGCATGGATTCTTGATTTAGGTATTGGTAAGGGAATAGGCCTTTAGATGGTACGCTTGGAGGATGTATAATATAAGTTGTTCTTCAGGTGGGATCTCGTTCTGAGGTGTTTGAGTTAGGGCTTGGGGTTGACGGTGTTGGGTTGTTGTGGTTTGGATTGTGGGACGGTGCTCGGGTTTCTTTGAAGGATTGGAGAAAATGGAGTAGAGGAAATGGATCTCAATAGAAGAACAGACTGGTTCGTTTCAGGCATCAGCGCCGCCTCTATATCAGGACAGGGTCATGCTATCCGAGGTTACGGGAAAAGGTGCCCTTACTAGCTGTGCTACGGGATACTCGTATGGGTAGAGACTTCCTCCACACAAGCAGATATTGATGGGCGGAGGGCTGGCAGATTGATGATCTACGTCTCCAGGCCGAACCGTTCCACAAATCTTCACTGCGGAAGGAGAAGTAACGAAGAGAACCTGCGTGCTTCGGCTTCATGGCCACGTCCAAGTGTATACACCCTATGGCACATCGCTGTAAAATAGCTGGGACGATTTCAGCACCTCCTGGGAAGTTGGAGACGTCATTCTGCAAGGCCACGAACTTGGAGGGTCTCTTTGTTGCAGTGAATCCAAAAGAAGCAGTGGCGAGATCACCCGCAGAGGCACACCGGAGGCAGACCGCAAGCTTATCGTTGAGATGCGTCAAGCGTTGGAGGCTAGGATAATCTTTCGACGGAAGGATGGTAATGGTAAGGCATCTAGAAAGAAGAGCACAAGGTCAGTCATAAGCTATTTTGACAGTAGCTTGCGTTGTATGGGGACGGGTAGCCTTGGCCTGCCTTACTGTAGAATGAGTCGGAAACGCTCCATCTCATTCAATACATCTGGAAGGTGTACAGCAGTGATTGGAGCGAGAGGTTAGATGGCCCTGATCTGAAATACTGCGAACCCGATCGTATATCCCCGACTCAATCGAAGCAACTATGGAGGCATAAGAGGCGTTTGGACCGAGAGTTTGATCCCCACGATAGAAAAGCTGTAAGGCAACCCCGGTCAATACTCGCTCAACTGCTTGTCATATGAGGGGGGAATGGTTGGAATCTGGCTTACTGCATACTGGCTGTAGGCGCTGAGGGTCACACATTGACTGGATCAAGCGTGACGGTATCGGTTTGACACTGGTCCTGAGTCTACTAGATAGAATTGAACTGGGCTGAAAGGCTTACCTGCCTGCTGCCAGATAGAGTCACCTGACTGGTGGTGACCATCGTGCTGCGAGCCTAACTCCCACCATAGCCTCTCAGATGGTCAGTTGTTCCGTCATGGATTAGACTGCCACTGCATGGTACTCTATTTCGTTCAATATTCAAGACACCAGACCAAGAAAGACCGAGCAACGATAAGTGCCAGCTGAGATGCCACGGCAAACGACTATTGACTAGCGGAAAGCCACCTCGTATGTTGATTGCCCCAGGGATGGCTAAACAGCAAACTGCATTGCCAAACTCCATTACCAAGCCACTGTCGTCTCTTACGCAACGCCATAGCGACCGTCCGCTTTTGTATGTGTTTCCCCTAGACAAATTGCGTTTCAACACATCAGCCCACCCCTGAAGATACACACCGACACCTAATACAGTACAGCAACACATACCTGTACATGCTTCTTTTGTCACTGAGATGTGAACAATGGAGACGGCACTACTTGACTGCACAAGACCTCGTAGTCCCTCCACCGATTTATCTCTAGCCCCAAGGATGGCCTGATGTGGCGCCCATGAGGCAGGTGATACGCAGAACTCATCTCGCATAATCCCGAGAGAAGGGCAAGAGAAGACTCTTAGTCGAAGGTAGGCGGTAAACCGCGCTAGTAATCGGCGAAAAGAAAAAGAATAGTACTTCAGCTCACATACCATCAAACTTCTTTCCCTCCAAGCCCAGGGAATTGACTTCTCATGATGCGATCTATCTGCTTGGCTAACTTCAGGCAGCTACATACGAGTTTGTGAATTTTCGTTGAACGTTTGGAAGATGCTTTGATTAGGCACAGGTGGAATAGACGAACCTATAAAGTTTCTACAGGTCAGTTACAGTTGAGTTACCCTCCAAACGGTGGCTGTCATATTGGATGCTTGTGTAACATGACTCCTAGTACGTATGCAGCGATAGGGCTCACCCTAGTATCATCGCCACTCGTATGTCTCAGCCATACAAACT